CTAGCAGTAGCCTGCAGTGCTGCATTTAACCACTGCGCCACCTTGGCTCTAAGAGCATTCCACAAATGGATACATTGTATCCCACTTGAAGGAATGTAGTGAGGAGCAACTTCTGCACTTCGGACTCATGCAAACAGAATTGATGGGATTAAGCTAATAAAACACATACTAAATTTTTTTTTCTCCCTTCCCCAAGGCTGGACCTGACCCCTTCCCACTCAGAAAGCCAGAAAGGGGAAAATCAAAATATCAAAGGCACATTATTAAACTAATCAAATACCCCATCAGGCATCTCAGTCACAAAAGCCCAGAAAAGTATAAACATCATTTCGGCTCACCCTTGCAATCTGCCACCCAGAACCCACCACTGTTTTCCCTGCAGTATCTGCGGCTTCCAAAATAAAAACTTCCTTTTCGACAGCTTGTTCCTAGCTTCTTATTTTGTTCATCAGCACTGATCTCATCGTCCTGGCTGGAAGGAACAAACTGCAGATTTTTCTTCTTACATGGTGAAGTTGAGAGAACAGATTCCTAGACCCTGGTCTACATTATCTATATGAAGGGCTTCTGGCAGTGGATGGGCTGCAGCTCATAAGAAGCGGGAAGAATTCATTTGGAAAATGGGTCCGCTTATCGGAAGGATTAAGCTAAAACTGAGTGGGGAAGGTGACTAATCTTTAGGACCTTTAGGACCTAATCATGAGCATAAACCCCAAGACAATCAATTAAACAAGGAGATAGGAAATAGTGGGAAGGAATGAACTCAGAAACAAAACAGGAGATGTAGAAACAAACACAGGCTCAGCCATAAAGGACTCGGATGCCTATACACTAATGCTCAAAGATTGAGGAATAAACAGAGTGAATTTGAAGTATTAGGGCACAAGAGGAGCTATGATATAGCTGTGATTATCAAAATTTGATGAGATGAAACTCATGACTAGAATGTACTGTTAGAAGGATATAAATCATTCAAAAGAAACAGGCCTAACAAAAGAGGAGATGGAACTGCATTATACTGTATGTAAGTATTCACTACACATCTATAGAAATGTTATTGTTAGTTACAAAGTCATATCCGACCCATGGACAACGTTCCTCCAGGCCTTCCTCTACCATCCTCTGGAATCCATTTAAGCTCACGCCTACTGCTTTAGTGACTCCATCCAGCCACCTCATTCTCTGACGTCCCCTTCTTCTTTTGCCCTCAATCTTTCCCACCATTAGGCTCTTTTTCAGTGAGTCCTTCTTTCTCATTAAGTGACCAAACTACTTGAGTTTCATCTTCAGGATCTGGCCTTCTAAAGAGCAGTCAGGGTTGATCTCCTCTAGGACTGACCGGTTTGATCACCTTGCAGTCCAAGGGACTTGTAGGAGTCTTCTCCAGCACCATAGTTCAAAGGCCTCAATTCTTTGGCACTCAGCCTTTCTTATGGTCCAACTTTTATAGCCATACATTGCAACTGGAAAAACTATAGCCTTGACTATATGCACTTTTGTTGGCAGGGTGATGTATCTGCTTTTTAGTATGTTGTCTAGATTTGCCATAGCTTTCCTCCCCAGGAAATTTATATAGAAATACCTAAAACCAAGAACAAAACTCTACTTGAATACATATGGGTTAATATAAAAGGGGGAAAGAATGACATTGCCATAGGTGTATACTACAGGCCACCCAATGAAACAGGAGAAATAGATAAACTTTTTGCTAAGATGGAACTTATTGACATCAATTGGGAGAAAAACTGCACCAAGTGGGAAAATTGAAGAAAGAGACTCAAGGGCTAATTCTGGTTGCCCAAGATCAAACCTTAAGAACAAATGCACACAAATCCAGAACTGAAAAGAGAGCAGTAGACAGCAAATTAGACTAATTAGCTGCTGCAATAAGATTGCATAGACTGACTACAAGCAACGGCATGACAAAGTAGCAATAATGGTGCATTGGAAGATCTACAAGAAATATTTAGTCAAGCAAGAACTAGTGGGACCATAAAATAGAGAAAGTCATAGAAAATAAAGAAGCTAACTTACTCTGGGACTTCTGAATTCAAACATACACACATAAAGCTCCAGACTTAATAATTGTCAATAAGAAAGACAAAAAAGACTGAATAGTGGATGTGGCAGTACCCCGAGACAACAGAAGAGAAGAGAAAGAATTGGAAAAGATGAAAAAATATACATCCAAATAGAAATAGAATGATTGTGGCAAAAGAAAGCAAAGGTTATAACAATAATAACAGGTACCTTGAATGGTATCCCAAAAAACTGGTGCACCACTTAAACATTATCAGCATTGACAAATTCACCATCAAAAGATGATTTTACTTGGAACAACTTACATCTGCAACAATATACTGTATGTAACACCACCAAACACCACATCTACCTTTCCCAAATCTTTGAGGACTTGATAGGTAGACAAAATGCCAAATCCAGTCTGAATGTCTGACTGACTATATATATATAAGATTTTACAACCCCCGGTATGCCCAAATATGGGAGGAAGATCACTACTTCCATTCTCTGTCCTTCGGCTCGTCACAATAGACCATCCAGGCAGAAACCCAATATTTTTACCGTTGCCTTTTTTTATATTTGTTGTATTTGTGCTGATAAATAATATATATACATACATTGGTCAGCACCTGGTGAAGATGAATTGCATAGATTTTGGTTGAAACACCTGATTAGTCTAATCTACACCAAATATTTGCCAAGCAGTTTAACAACATACTGCAAGAAGGTGAAATTGAGGAATGGCTAACATCTGGCAAAGGCTACCTGATCATGAAAGATCCAGCAAAGCAGATAGCACCAGGCATCTACTGGCCTATTACCTGATTACCAACAGTTTTTCTGGTGAAAAATGGGCTACAGGATGCATGCCTGTTGGCTGAGCAATTGGGGCACCAGCTGTAGAATTACTGGAAATAGCAATAACACTTAGACTTACCATATTTTTGCACTATAAGATACAAACTCCCCCCCCCCCCAATGTGGGTAGAAATGGTGCAAATATTGCAGTGAGGTGGGAGGGAGATTGGAATGTTATTAGAACAAGCCAAAAAAAAAAAAGAAAGCTAATGGCAGGTAATACTGAATAGCCAATTTCCTCGTGTAAAGGGTCTCTTGCTAATTCACCCTGCTCTAGTTTGAAAGCTATGTCAAACACCTTCTGTGGGTCTGTAGCTCTAATTCTTAATAGTCCTGTAGTATAAAAAGCATGTTGGTATAGATAATTCTTAACTCTGGCTTTCCAAAAAAAGATTATCTGACCGAGAAGAATGTGGTAGTCAGAAAATTGATGGAAAAATGATGTATAAGCAGAAATAGAGCAGGAAAGCCTTAGATTTGAGGGGAATATGAAATGGCTTATTAGTTGTGTGCAAACAGACACTGACTATATTTCATAAACATTTTAAGCAGAGGATTGGATGATGACTTAAAAGTCTTTTCCAATTATCATTCTATGGTTTTTTCATGCAGATTCTGAAGGAAATGAGAACACTTTTTATTTTAACATCTGAATATGACACTTTGCAGGGTGATTGCTGACTCCAGTAAGAAACAAAATGTGGGATACAAATTTGATGAATATATAAAATACATATACATTAACATTTAGTATAAAATGAAAATGCATTGTATTATATAATTAATATTTTAATTCTGATTCTTAAAGGTTATCCTTTTCCTACTGCTCCTCCAGTAGATCCATTTGCAAAAATTCGAGCGGATGATTGTGGAAAAACAAAAGGATGCTTTAGGTCAGTATGATACAATGAAAATGTGTTAATTGTTTCTCTTTTAAGTAAAACCAATCTGACCTATGAACAAGGTCAATCTATAAATTGTTTCAATGAATATATCCTATTAGCAATACTTTATTGTAATTCTGAGTCTATGTGAAGTTTCCCAGTTGTGAAGTTCCTTTGTTTAGACAACTGAAATGTAAGTTCTGCATAGATTTAAAAAAACCCTAAGAACAGAACACCTTTGCACTGTGTTTTGATACCATAAACCTTGAAATTTTGAATGTTTTTCCATAGGAAATCATAGGAACAAGATGCTTGCTACCTTGATGTATGTTCTAAATTCACAAAGATTGAGTAAATGTTTTAAAAATCTACATACAAATAAACATTTTTGGTAACTTATCTATTTACAGAACTATAGCACTTAGCTCAGCAAAGAAGCAACAGCAGTGGGTTCATTTCAGTAGAACTACAAAATATCGGCAATGGTGGTTTGTTAAAGCTCTTCCCTGTTTCCATTTAGCAAACTGACTGTAAAGTTCAACCAACAAATAAAGTAACATTGTATTTGAACTGACAATCTGAAAACTCACCATCATAGGAATAGTATCTATAAAGCTCATGCACAGTTTATATTTTGACTTGTATAACCTGGCTTAAAAAGAATATTGCATCCATTTTGGTCACCATGATACAAAAAAGATGTTGAGACTCTAAAAAGAGTGAAGAGAAGGACAACAAAGATTATTAGGGGACTGAGGCTAAAGCATATGATGATTGGTTGTAGGAACTGGATATATCTAATCTAACGAAGAGAAGGATTAACAGTGACATGATAGTAATATTCCAATATTTTGAGCGATTGTCACAGAGAAGAGGGGGTTATTCTCTAAAGCACCTGAGCACAAGACAAGAGGTAACTGATGGAAAATTATCAAAAAGAGATCCAACCTAGAATTAAGCAAAATTTCCTGACAAGAAGAACAATTAATCAGCTTGCCTCCAGAAACAGTGGGTGCTTCATCACTGGAGGTTAAAAAATATATCAAACAACCATTTGTCCAGAATGGTGTGGGGTCTTCTGCTTGGGCAGGGACTTGGACTAGAAGATCCTCAATTTTTTTCTTTTCAATTCTGTTATTCTGTATTCATCCGAAAACCTGGAGAATTCAGAGTTCCTGATAATTTATAATTTTAAAACAATGTCAATGAAGTAGAGATGGAACTGTTTCATGGATAAATGTATGGTTTAAAAATTAGAAAGGCACATATGGAATACAGAAAAACAACATGGAATAAAACTCCTGCTTTTGGCCCCATCTTGGAACTATGAATCTCTTTTATTATTCTCTGTTTTATTAAAATTATGCTCCTAATATATACAGGAACTTTAAATAGTCCTTGACCATTTACGAGATTACATCAGGCAGTACGAGGTTATATAAACACGAAATATGTATAATATAAATCACATGGTATATACATATGTTATGCCAAATGGAGCTCACAAAAGGAAACTAATGACTGAGGAAACTATGGAGAAAAGTTTTCATAAAACAGTTTATCCTAATGGTATGCTTCAATACATTAATACATAGCTAATATTTCTGCCTGGAACCCTAACAATTACTTCACCTTGGAACTTCAGGCACCAACATCTGCTAGACTCCAACAACTGTGGGACAGTGGGATATGCCTCATGCAGGTAAGGAAGGGAATGGGTGGAAATATATGGTAATATGTAAGTGCTATGTTTACATTTTCATTTTCTTATTGTTGTGATCATTTTTGTCTAATACTCTTTTATTTCCTAATAATGTTCTCCATGCATTGGGGAGGAACTAACTTCTACAGGCAGGAAAACCCTAGTTGGAAAAACAAGTGGGTCTACACAATCTACTACACAATCTACTGCAAGCCAATATTCCTGAACATATTTCTTGGATCAGAGGCTGAATGCGCACAGTGGAATCTATAGTTGTGGCACAGTATTTTACTACAGTCTTCAAGGAAGAAAGAGTATGTATATTGACAAGTACAATACTATTCTCTTTATTCTATAAAATAAAATCTTTCACTTTCCAACAAGCATTTGTGCAATTAAATTCCTGTTATTGCCTCTAGTTTAATACCTTATCAATATTTCCTTTTCTTTTCCAGGTGCCATTTTACACAAGATTGATTCCATATCACATTCCATCAAGAATAGAAAAATGACCAGAAACTGCGACCAGGATGCTTCCAGCTATTTTTATTATTATTAATTATTTTGTTAAACTATTTGCTCCAGGGAAACTTGAGTACTTTGAAAACCTCATCACATTTATCCTGTAGTTAAACTATTTATACCATAGAACTTATGCTACAGAAGAAACATTGTGCTCTTTGTCAACCTGGTCATCCAGATTTAATAACTGATTGATAAGTCAATTTGTGCCTTTCTGTTTCAGAATGTTTGCCATTTTGGATGCTGATCTCCAGAGACTCATACTACTTTATTTATTGTGCTCAATAGAGTTTTGAATACTTCCAAATTGGAGATTGATTCATCTGGACATAGGAAGGGTTTAGAAGGCAGAAATGGCTTGGGTTTACAGGGCTTTTGTGGGGGGATCAGTGTTGACTTCTGGAGATTGGTGGAGAAGTTCCTGTTTTTTTGGCATGATTTCAAAAGTGGCTTTCTCTTGACTGCTTCTTGGGACTAGAGAATGTCTGCCTCAAGATCATTCAGCTGGCTCCAGTGGATTAGAATTAATCTTCTCCTGGTTTCTAGCCTATGTGTTAATTAACACATCAAGTTGGGTCTTTCAAAAGGTCAGGAATTCACTCAAAGTGTATAATTATAGTGGCTGCTATTGGTATATATGAAATAGTTTGATGAGGATGGATAGAAGGATCTTTGCTAAGATTCTGTAGGTATGATGGATTAACCAAAAAAAGTTTTGTGTTGGTTTGTTATCTTTTCCATGTGAAAAGCCTAGAATAAATGGGTGGGTGTTCCTTCTGAAAGGCTCAAATATGAATAGATTTGTGTTATTCCTATTTTACATAAAATAATCTTGCTGAGTTAAGCTAAATCCCATAGCCAGGTCTGATGGTTAAAACACCAGGCTAGGAAGTGGGAGATTATGAGTTCTAGTTTTGCTATAGACGTGAAAGCCAGCTGAGCTGGCCATAGGCCAGTCATTCTTTCTCAGTCCAATTACCTCAAAGGTTTGTTGTGAGGAAAATAGGAGGAAGAAGATACATTTTCCACATTATTTGTGAGATAGAATACAAACATATAAAAAAAATAAAAAATTTAGATTAGCATTTTATTTCTCCCAGTGTACAACTAGATGTATCTGCAATGCTTTCAAACAGGAGATAGAGACATCACTTGACACTACTGTTCCTCCTCAGTTAGTTTTTGGGGTCAATGTTGTCAACGTACATTTATATTTATTAATTTTATTGGCCTCTCTTTTTACCACAGGTTAACTCTGGGTGGCTTACATTATTAAAAAAATAAAGTTATACAAATTCTATACATAATACAAACAAACTCAACCCTACCTAAAAATGGAGAGGGAGTGAATAGGATGAACAGGAGGGGCAGTGAGATCTGTTATTAATCTGTCAACCATCTTCAATGTTAAGACCCCACCCCCACCCCCATTTGAACCTCAAGCCAACTGGTAGAGCCAGATCTTAAACTCTTGCGAAAGGACAGGAAGGTTAGAGCCAATCTCAACCGGGGGGGGGGGGGGGGGCAAAATGTTCAAAGGGCAGAGGCAATGGCCGCAAAGGCTGTTCTGGACCCCACCTACTGGAATACCCTAGCCTAGCTAATAGGGCCCACAGCATGACTCCTCTGCCAGCATGGGTGGAGTGGCCAATCCCATTGGGATAAACAGACCCTCAAATAATTTGAAACCATGTCAAGAAGGGTTCACCGACAAAAGGGCGACCGACAAAACCGCGGTGACAAAACCACGAGTTCTAAATCGCGCTGACGAATGAGTGCTGAAGTGCGCCGACAACAGCGTGCCAACAGAAGCACGCTCTAAACCTAACACTGACCCTGACCCTGACCCTAACCCTTACCTTAACATAAATCGCGCTTCTGTCAGCAAGCTGTTGTCGGCGCGCTGTTATCGGCGCGTTGATGTTGCGGTTTTAGCGCCACAGTTTTGTCAGCACGCTTGGTCAAGAAGGCCTTTAAAGAAGATTACCAACATCTTGAATAGCACCCAGAAGCAAACTGGCAGCCAGTGCAGTTCATGCAGCAGTGGTATCACATGGGTCATTCTTGGCACTCCAAAAACTCTGCATTAGCTGTAACTTCTGAATGCTCTTCAAGAGTAGCCCCATTTAGAACATGTTTCAATAATCCAAATGCAAGATGACTAGGGCTGGCATTAACTGAAAATGCCAGGTTTACAATTTATAGAACTTAGAATTAGGCACATTTGCATGAAACCTAAAGTGCTTTATTACAGCTGAAAGTTATAGACCGCACAATTTTTGTACAGATGTCAGTGGTGAAATCTAAAAAAAATTCCTATCGGTTCTGTAGGCATGACTTGGTGGGGGATCATGTGATTGGGTGGGCATGGCTATGTAGTCATGTGACTGGGGGAGTCAAAAGAGAGAAACTCACTTTAGCAATGTCCTGCTGGAGGAGGGGTTGGACTAGATGAGCTTCAGGTCCCTTCCAGCTGTAGATTGCTGTGCTCTTTCAAGGTATCCTCTGAAGCTACGTCTAATACCAGGTTTGTGGTCCTCCCTCTCTCTCCTTTTTCCCTCCCTCCCTCCCTTTTTTCTTTCTTTTTTTCTTTCGCAGCACCCCCCTCCCCCAATTTTTGGCCTAGCAGGCCTCATGAAAGCCTCCTGGCAGCAAAAATGGACCCCAAATACTAAAAGGAAGTTTTTTAAAAGTTCCTACCATCGTGCAGCACAGCTGATTGTCGGAACTTTTTTAAAATTTTGATAAGCATTTTTTGACTACTGGTTTGAGTGAACGGTGGCAT